AGTCAGCAGACTTTCACTGCTTTGGACACTATGTGGCCTTTCCTGTCAGGAGTGTAACTTAAAATGTCTGAAAAATCGTCATCATGAAGATATGCATGACTGTTTGACTGACCATAATTGTTATGCTACTTGTGGATTCGTTGAAGCTCATACGAATGGCCTATTTCCAAGATGTAGTCACAAAGCAGGACATGATGGAAAACATGCATGTAATACGGTAATTAATCAAAAAAGCAAAAATCAAATGCAGTCGGATCCCGCAATGGTCACATCCGCATTTGTCGAATTAGTCACAATCCTGCGATAGGTACATAGGTATCCTAATTTCAATATTAGACTGTTGCGGGAGATGACTGTAAATTTTATCCATTCGGACATTAAACCTGAGTCAAATATTTTTATTTTTAATAAATTTCTGAATTTATAAATAGACAAGTCATCTATGTGGCAAACCATGTAAATTTAGTGACAAACGTAATTGTCAAACAAAATGTGCAAAAGAAATTGACCATGACGATGATGAACATATATGTCAATCAAACCGTCATAATTGTGGTGCACCTTGTTCTCTGCAAGCCAATACTAAGAAGGGTTTTTATAAATGTCCTAACAAATGCATCATCCCGTGTGAAGATGAGCATGAACGACATTGCTGTGAAAATGATTCTGCATGTCCAATTCAATGTCCAATTCCTGATTGTCAACGACGATGTCAAAGTACAGATCATTTTCATGCTTTGCAATCGCAACAGATGCATTTTTGTGGGTATGTACTTGTGAAAAGTGGTTTACAGTATGTCTAGGATTCCTTTTAAATCTATCATGCTTCATATTATATTACAAAAAGTAATGAGCATCAATGTCAAGAAGATTGTCAAGAGTTAGGTATTTGCAAAGTATTAACTGAACCGAGAAAACAAGAAGAAGTTTATCAAGGTTTAGTTCAAGGGACTTCTATTACATTCACTAAGGTATGATTTAAATAGTTTTGAAATTATTTTTTTATGTTTAAAATTATGATCATCATGATATTATTATTGCACAGTATATTCAATTGAGTGAAAGAATTAAATGCTGCAAGAAAATTCCACCAAATGCCTTTCATCATGATGGTAAACATACTCATGATGAAAGCGGCTTTCATTATTGTGACGCCCAATGTAAGAATATATTTTTGAATTTGCAGTATATTATTTAATTTAACTATTTATCAAATTTTCATCATGAAATGCCGTATAGGTCAACTTTGTGAATACTATGTATGTTATATTTCCGATATTTTTTGAAAGACGTCCTTTTAATTCATAAGCTAATTAATAATCTAATTAATAATCGTTATGTCAGTGCATTTTACCTTATGGACATCCACAAGCTTTACATGAGACCAAACATGGAAATATGATTCAGACAGAATTTACTTCAGAAGATAAAGAATTCGAATATAGAGGGTACTGATATTAACAATTTCCTTTATATGTGCGTAAACTATACCAGATTAATAATATTTTAATATTATTTATATACAAAGCCATAAACTGAGAGCAGGTGATCACGGAACATTTGTACTTTGTAACTTGGTAAGTTGTTTCAACAATACATAGACTATTTTGATCATTTATTCTAATTAATGTTTTATATTATATATTATAGTACTGCAAGGAATTTGGACGCCATCGTCATATAGATTATTGTCAAGACGCTTCAACATGTAAACCCAGTGCAAATAAGAGACATATTGATGGTAAAAATTATATTATTTGTCCTTTTTTTATTTGATCTATTCTTATGCGCCCTAAAATTTTAGTCAATGTTGAACCTCATCCGGACAAGCCGAAAGATTATATTTCTCATAAGCTTTTTTGGGAGCGTACAGGATTTAAGGGTATATATAATTTCAGAAGCATGATTTTGCAATATATAATATAGTTACTTAAAGAATTTTTATAGATCCCTATTCAGTTCAAGAACAAGAAATGTTTGAAAAATGTGATCATGAGTGTGCTGATGAAATACATCAGCCAACGAAAGGATCTAACATTATACCTAACAGATCATTTTGTGAATTACCGTTGTTTCATGCACCTCTTAAATTATCCGATGCTCCACCAAATGGTATTGGATATATTTCCCTTGGTGGACATCACTTTACATGTGACAACCCTGCAAAAAAAGAAGGATCATTTCATATCATTTTTACAATTGACCGATCTGGATCTATGAGTAGTACTGATAAAAAACCACTTCCAGATACACCTGTTTATAATCTTATAAAAGCACGGCATGAAAACAGGACAGGTGCTGTATATAGTGCTGTAAGTATTTGATTTTTTTTCCTCTGGCAGAGGGTTTCTTCAAACACTTGATTTTTTCAGAAATTAAAATATTAACCTTAAATTTTTTTATATAATTGGAAAGGTTTATTCATTTATGGAAGCAAGGCTGGCCGCACAAGCAAGGTCACAATTACAATCCACTAATAAGGATACTGTATCACTGATTCTTTTTAGTCATGAAGTTATTGTGCCATTTGAAAATCATGTGTTAACGGATTCTAAGACGATGCTAAACCAAATGTTACCACACGGTGCAAGCGGTGGGACTGACTTTAACCTAGCAATTCAAAAAGCAGGAAGTTTAATTAATAACTATTTTGATCCGGCAAGGTATTTAATTTAAACATTATCATTCATTGTATTCTCTTAAATCATTGCTTAACAAAAAATTATTAATTTCAGAGCGAATGTAATTATATTTCTTTCTGATGGTGGATGTAGTACACCGAAAAGTCAGCTTGAACAAATTTGTAAATATAATAGTGATAAAGGGTAAATAAATTTTGAAATAATATCTTTCAAATCGTATATTTCTAATGTCTTAAAATGCTAATTAATAATTTTAATCAGAAACCCATTATATCTTATAACTGTTTTATTTGCCGGTGGAAGTGATAGTCCTTCTTTAAGAGAAATGGCTGAGATTGCTGGCCGATATAATCCAGCAAACAAGATTGGAAATGCTTTACGTTGTCACTTTACTAGCGCTATGAATGAGATTAATTTAATCAATACATTTACTGGTGTTGCAGAAAGTTTGAGAGCGCATAATCCTTCATTGATGAAAAAACTTTAGTTTATTCTACATGCTATTTTGTTTATTTATTTTATCATCATTAGAAAATAACTACATTCAATTGGAGGGGAAATCCCTCACATTATTTGTTAATAAAATTTAGGGCTAGGGTGTAAGTAGCTTAGGGTTAGATATTAGAACCCCGATTTTAGTAAGCATAAGGTTTTGAGGTTCTGAACATTTTACTTAGTATCCCTGAGGCGTTAGTACATTTTTGAAATATAGCAACGCGGTGACCTTCCCCCCGGTGAAAATTAGCAATACTCTTATTATTATTATTATTGTTTATTGATTAGTTATTTGTAATTTTGTCATTTATTGAATATATACTAAAGATTGTAATTATTAATATTTTTAAATTGAAAAATACCTATATTTGTGGACATTTTGTCTTGAGATTTAAGGATATGATGGTATGTGCCTTTGCTCCGAAATGGCTCTTCTGGATTACGTAAAGTCTGTGAACAGATTTTTAACTTGATTTACTTAGGGGAGGGACAGAAATAAGATGATTTCTAGTTACTAAGAGGCTATACCACACGGCACGCACTTATTTGCGCGAGTAATGCAAACCCCTAAAAAGGAGATGGCCAATCGGAGAGCACAAATTTTGACTATTCCGGATCAGCCCGACATGAATTCCGAACACGCGAAAGAAGAAAAAAGCGAAAATACGGTCATTTTCGGCTAGCCGTTTTGTAGCCGTTAGCTGTATCTCGCGACCCATTAGTCAAAATTGGGTTATTTTAGTACCATTCGAATCGTCTCATTAAGACGATTCGAATGGTACTAAAATCATCCAATTTGGATCACTGGAT